GACTAGATTTGTTGGAGAATGACCAAACTCTCCAATTAGAAACTTATTTTTAGTGCAATTTTTTATTGGCTGTCGGAAGAGGTGCAATGTTAATATGTGACATTTGGTATCTTGTTAGTCTCTCAAAATATTCCATCATGATTTACCAACCTGAAATTCTGAGGCACAGGCCATTATTCGGACCAGTAGAAGTCACTGGGAACTATGGCCATAGAATCATGCCATACACATAGTGCTCTAGTTTAGTTCTAATAAATGTTTCCATATCAAATGCAATAAAAGTACAACTCAACTACAATTATTTGCAAAAAGGGAAATATACTGACTCATTGCTTAAATAAATGAACAAGCAATCATTATTTAGACACATACAAATACAGATCATCAAACATTTCTTCCAGCATTATTCTACCACACCTCTGCCAAACCCAATGCCATTACCTGTGTAACTTATTGACTTATTTTTTTTTATGTTAGGGGTGCTGACAATTTCAATTGCATAGTATGACTCACTTACCTTAAGTCAACCATATTAAAATTATGCTACTAAGATTTTTAATGAGCTTGTATTTTAATCTTTGTTTAGAGTTGTTTTTATATCAGGTCATTTTAACATTGAAGTTTTAGTAACAGGGATATACAGTAGCCACTATCCTCGATTGAGATCTCTAAGCTCTTCCCAGCATCAGCAACTCCTCCCTACACATAAACAGTCCCACACGGCATAAGCAGGAGGAGCTACTAGAAATTATTTATAAACTGAGCAGCAGCAAAGACCAGTAGGACTATTTTGTGGCAGAAGAGAAGAAAGGGGTCTGAATTCCTTGCTGCCATTTTTTGAATGGACATTTTCATTTATTCTCAGGTAATGGAAGTAAATGAAATGGGAGCACATGAAATAGTGGAGTATTGTTTTTCATCTGACAATGCATCTTGCCTAAAAGAAACTCGATCCACAGCTGTTTATGTCATCTTATATATTTTCTTTATATCTGTGGCAATACTGACAGTGTGTGGAAACCTGATGGTGATCATTTCTATCTCTCACTTCAAGCAGCTCCACACACCAACTAACTTCCTCCTGCTCTCTCTGGCTGTGGCAGACTTTCTGAGCGGGCTGATTGTGATGCCTTTCTTGATGATAATGTATATAGAAACTTGTTGGTATTTTGGAGTGACGTTCTGTTATATTTTTACCTCAGTTTTTGCTATTCTTTCTGTTACTTCTCTTATTAATGTTGTCTTCATAAGTATCGATCGCTATTTTGCTGTGTGCGATCCTTTACAATATTCCAATAAAATAACAGTTAATGTTATAAGCTTATGTATAATACTTAGCTGGTCATTCGCCATACTTTATTCATTGATGATCGTTGCGTGCAATATTAATTTTAAAAGCACTGAAGGCATAAATACCTGCCTTGGAGAATGTTTGATTGAAATGAGTGCTTCCTGGGTGATACTTGATATTTTCATTTCTTTCATTTTACCTTGCTCTATTATGATATTTCTTTATATAAAAATATTTATTGTTGCCAAAAGGCATGCACAAGTGATCACTTCTGTTACTGAACAGCTGACTTATAGAGATGAAAAAAACAATAACATTTCCAAAAGGTCTGAAAGAAAAGCAGCCAGAACATTAGGGATTGTAATGGCTGTATTCCTCCTGTGCTGGATGCCATATTATATAGCCAATATTGTTGTGGGAAACTTAAGTTTTTCTTCTTCACCAGCAGTTATTAATTATCTGATTGTTCTAGCATATTTGAACTGTACCCTGAATCCAATTATCTATGCCTTGTTTTATCCCTGGTTTCAGAAGTCAGTGAGAGAAATATTTACATTTAGGATATGTGATCCAGCATCCACTCTGATTAATCTGTTTCCAGAAAACCATTAAAAACCATAATAAGAACTCTGCCAGGCACCAATGGTGTATCAGTCGTCTGCTTTCTGAGAAGCCTGCTCAGTCACAAAAAACAGCTAATCACACAGAGATATTTATAGCACTGTTCATTCAAATACTCTTCATCTCCAGCAGAACAACATTTCAGTCTTCAATGAAATCATCAGGAGGGCCTAAATGAGTAAACTTCTCTTAATCTTTTTTCTCTCCATTAAATACTAACTCTTTTTCATTCTCTGGAGCACCTGGCACACTGAACTGGGCTCCCTTCACTGAGGATACACATTCCCTGTTTCCTCTGAGACCTACCAGAGCACCTTACATTATGTCAAAGAGTGCCAACACCGAAGAAGGGAAAAGGCTAATGGGCTGTGATTTACTGAGTTTGCAGGTAGTGGCCAGTGGGTATGTTAGTATCGGTGTGTTTGTCCTTCTCCTGTTTTTTTGTTTCATCCCTGATAATCAAAGTCTTCCAATGCAGACAGTGGGGCAGTAGGCAATTAACTGGACTCAGAGACAAACAGAATCGAGCGGTGAACATCAGGGACACATTGCTCAAGATGCCCAGGAATGAAGAAGATACCTAAACTACCAAAGAAACCACACAGAGGACGGAACTGCTGGACAGCATTCTTTTGGGACATTTGTTCTTGTATCTGGGGGTCCATGGGGCTGGTTTGGAATGTGTGCCCCCAGAGAGAGTTTTGTATCATGATCTTTGGATGGATGGGCTGTAATTGCCAGAGAATAAAGGGGCTCTTAATCAATACTTATTGTCTTGTCGGGTCTGTGGTTGTACTGGTGGCTCTGGAAGATAAAGTTAAGGTAATGTGTGGCAAGGGAAGCAGGGTCTTAATACCTATCATAAATGGCTAGGTGGTGTAGTCAGCACAATGCAAAAGTAGTTCCTGAATTTAGGGGTTACCTATCCATGACACTTACCCAGCTTAACCACTGGTACCCAGATTCCACCTATAAACGGCACTAATCTACCACTCTACAGAGACTCTGGAGAATGGAAAATCCAGGATAACGTATTAAAATTGCTTAATTCGTCTGATGTCCATCTAAATTCAATGCATAATGAAATCCTTGCATGTTTTTATTAACTATTTTTCGAACTTTTCAAATTTTAATCAGTGCTAGTACTGCCAGTTAAAATTAGTTAATATTACAAACTCCCTCCTTGAACTACAGGAGCTTAGACACAACTTCAAGCCTATCCACTGAGTGCAAGATATACTCTCACTTCTGCTCCTGAGGAGTGTTCAGTTATCTATATTACATGATCCCTTTTTCCATTCCACAGGAAGCAAATCAGTCATGGCAAGTGTGTCCAATCAAAGGAAGACTGGCCATGGATTCACAACACCTACGGTACCTAAATTTATGTAGCAAAGGGGGGCACATAGCTCACATTATTTCTATAATTCTGTGTAATTAAGTTATTACGTATGATTAATCACGTCATAATTAATTCATTCAAGTGAACAATTAATCACTGAGTGTTGTAGTTGTTCACTTATTAATAATTATAAATAACAGTTATAGAATTAATTAATAAGTTCAAGTGAGCGATGCATAGGCTGCAAAGGAACAAGTAATAAGTCTGTTCTATCCTGAAATTACAAGAAAGAAAAATAAATTGGGCCATGGATCTGTCTTCAGGTGTGAAAAAGACAGGGCAGTAAGCAAAGGTAATGTAGTAGGAGAACAAAAGCTGGGAGAGAGGTGGAGCAAAGGACAGACAGAGTGGCCAATAAGGTAGCCTACGGAACTGTGAAAAACAGATAGTTAGTTGTTAGTGTGTTTGTGGAGAAATGAGCTATACAGGAGATAGTTGTGTGAATCAGTGGGTTTGTAATAGACCAAAGTAGAGAGTTGGAGGTAGTTAATGGAGAAGTTGATGTCTAGAAATCCTGCAGTTACATTCACTTGAGTGATGTCTGGCATAGATCCTATACCAGAAGCTTTCTGCACTGTAGAAAAGATGGAGAAGTGAGAACTATAACTTTATCAGTTAAATTCAATGCAAATTTCGGTATGCCAGTGAGGAAGCATTCAAAATGTTTTAAGCATTTTAAAGTGTAAAACTTATTGTTCTGTGGGTAAGATATATATATATATATTACTTTATTGGTTAAACAAACATCGTGTGAAGCTTGCGACTGTACGTGAGACTGCCATGTTAGCCCTAAGATATTGTTACAACCTGGGGTATGTGGCAAGGTGTAACAACATTTGTATCTTGAGTTATATCAAGGCCTTACTCAGACAGTTTAATTTTTTTTTTTTCTAAAGCCATACCAAATGTGTCTGAAAATGCTTCTAAAAATGCAAAGGAATACATTTTATTTAATGCCAATTAGCATTTACTTTCAGAACAAATGGAGATCTAAATACTCGCCTATTTCATGTTATACTTCTCGGCTCGTGAGTGCTAGAAATGATTTTTAGCTACAACATTTTGTGCACTGCCAACGTGTCTTCAGAGAATAGTTTTGGGTTTCTGGCACATACTAACTTGATTGTGTGTGAACATATCCCAGAGCACCTAAAGCTGGGAATCAGTGAAATGGTGATGATGAAAATCTTTTAGGCACAAAAAAAAACTTAATTGCACATTCTTTAATTCATTTTTTATGGAGACACATCTTAAATCTTGTCAGCCAGCTCTTTTTTTCTCTATTTGAATTCAAATGATTCAAATTCAAATAGTGATTCAAATAACTTAGGATAACAAGTGGTCTCAAAGTCACCGAGCTTAAAGAATTAAAGTTTTTAATTTTAAAGTGCAATTAAGTTTTTTTGTGCCTGACATGTTAAGAGAAGAAATCATGTTTTTGGATGTTGATGTAATGTGATTGGAAGACAGCATGTGAAGTAAAAAATATGTGTTTTTCACATTCTCTGACGAGCCTTGTTTTGTCAAAGAAGCAGAAATTATCTTGCTTTCAAAGGACAGCAAAGATACTAGCAAAGGTTAATTGCACTATGAACTGCATAAAGAAATGTAAAATAGTCTTCTTTAAGTCTGAGGGCAGGAGTGGATGGCAGCAGGAATAAACTGGAAACGTGAAGTCACTGCATTTCCCTCTGAATAGCTACTAAATAGGCGGTGAAAACATTTGTCTGTCTTTCCGTGGGGGGAAGGGGGACTGTCTTTGATTGGAAGGTACGCCTATTCTACTCTGAGAATGCCTGTGGTCTTTTCAACTGATAAGCTTGTGTTAACAAAAATTACAGTATGCTTAAGTATGCTTAAGAGTTGTTAAACCAGTTTTTATTTATTTTTCGGCACAGCCAACCGGCTGTCGAGTGGTCACTGCGCAGGTGAGCACCTCTAATATCAGGCGTAAGCGTTAAATATATTTAGATCTTTGAATTAATATCGTTATTGATTTCTTTAGCATCACAACATTGTCCAATAATACTCTTCTTGTGTCTAATTTTTAATTAAGCAGGATTTGAGCTACAGACCATAAAAACCACGCTTTTTGACCACGCTCGAATGTTCTTCTGTCCATATGTTTGGAAGGGAAACACAGAAAGCCTTCAAACGAAATGCATTTTAAAGACCATGACTTGTGAAAATGTTCACAGCCTCCACGTAAAACTATCAGTGATCTAATTACCTTTTTTTAAACCTCCGGTTTTTCATTGATGCATAATTACGCACTAACTGGAACCCGGGGAGACCGCTGTGTACACACGTTCACAACGCATGAAATACTGCCCCCCCCCCCTCCAAAACCCCTTTTTTTTGCTTACAGTAGTACTTCTCGCGTTAAGAAAGTTAAGTGTTAGCATAAACTATTAGTAATAATAATAATTGCTTACACTTATATAGCACTTTTCCGGACACTCCACTCAAAGCACTTTACAGGTAATGGGGACTCCCCTCAACCACCACCAATGTGCAGCATCCACCTGGATGATGCGACGAAAGTCATAGTGCGCCAGAACGCTCACGACACATCAACTATTAGCGGGGAGGAGAGCAGAGTAATGAAGCCAATTCATAGACAGGAATTATTAGGAAGCCATGATTGATAAGGGCTAATGGGAAATCTTGGCCAGGACGCCAGGGTTACACCCCTACTCTTTACGAGAAACACCCTGGGATTTTTAATGACCACAGAGTCAGGACCTCGGTTTTACGTCTCATCCGAAGGACGGCGCCTGTTTACAGTATAGTCCTAATGCCCCATCACTGTACTGGGGCATTAGGACCGACATAGACCGCAGAGTGAGCACCCCCTGCTAGCCCCACTAACACCTCTTCCAGCAGCAACCTTTTCCCAGGAGGTCTCGCATCCAGCTACTGACCAGGTTCACACCTGCTTAGCTTCAGTGGGCTGCCAGTTGTGTGTTGCAGGGTGATAAGGCTGCTGGCAAGTAAGAGGCTCTGGTGAAATTTCTCTGTGAATTGAAAAGTTAAAGTGTAAAGTGTCTCCTCCTTTTAACGGGAAGAGACGTGGTGCTTTAAACAAGAGAGTGTGGCGTTACTTTTTGAAAAAGTGTGTGTGTGTGTTTCTCTGCTGGCGCGCGGACGCGGGGGGATGATGTGCCAGCTGTACTGAAAAATAAAGTGCCATTTTTCATTTTTTTGAAGCGCCGTTTTCAATCATTTTAAACTGTATTGCAGCATGTTACACATCAAACATGAAAAATGTTTATTTATTGGTATATTTTATAAAAGCATGACTGCTCAGTCGGACAGTATAAAGCATGTTTTTTAATGTTTGTAATCGCTATTCTTGCAAGTACAAACACAACATTAACTGGAATGCTACAGAACCCTAAGCAGACAATACACACTAGCCGAATATACAGTAGCTGTGTCAGTATTCTGTGTAAAAAAATCAAGGACATCATGATTTGTTTTTAAAAAGCTGTTGAGTAAAGAATAAGAATTTTCATATGTGTACGCTCTAAGTTTTACTTTTTTTTCAGTTCACAAACTTCTCTTTGAACTGAAGAGTTAAAGTGTA